GGCACAGTGGCTCATTCCTATTATCCCAAACCTTTGGGAGGCCAAGGTGAGTGGATTACCTGAGGTCAGGAGTTAGAGACCAGCCTGGCCAACATGGTGAAACACCATCTCTACTAAAAATACAAAAATTAGCCATGTGTGGTGGTGGGTACCTGTAATCCCAGCTACACAGGAGGCTGAGACAGGAGAATTGCTTGAATCCAGGAGACAGAAGTTGCAGTGAACAGAGACCATGCCACTGCACTCCAGCCTGGGCAACAGGAATGAAACTCCATCTCAAAAAAACCAAAAAACAAAAAACTTGAGTCATACCATGAGGACCAAAAAAAAGTGAATCATAATACATTTTCATTTTAAACTTTTTGTTAAACTTTTGTAATAGTCAGGAAAAAAAGGTCTATGGAAGACAAAAGAAACTCTACATACAGACAAATTTTTATAAAAGACCTTAAAACAACTACAAGAAAAATACAGAATATCTGCAAAAGAAGAGACAGACAGACGACTTCTTAAAATCAAAAATGGAAGCCACAAGACAGTGGTAGTATATGATCAACATGTTGAAAAAAAAAAAAAAAAAGCACTTCCAATCTAGAATTTCAAACCCTCAAAATAATTATCTTTTTAAATGAGGGTAAAATACATATAGATTACAACAGATGAAAAGAATTTTTGAGACAGGGTCTCATTTTGTCACCCAGGCTGGACTATAGTGGTGCCATCACAGCTCACTGCAGCCTCAACCTCCCAGACTCAACTGAATCTCCCACCTCAACATCCTGAGTATCTGAGACCACAGACACAAACCACCAGGCCCAGCTAGGCTTTTTCATCGTTTTGTTTTCTTTTTTCTTTTTTAGAGATGGGATTTTGCCATGTTGCCCTGGCTGGTCTCAAACTCCTGGGCTCAAGCAATCCACTTCCCTCAGCCTTTAAAGGGCTCAGATTACAGGCTGAGCCACAATGCACAGCCAAGATGAAATTTTTTAAAGACAGGTGCCAACAGATTTTCATTAAAGGAAATTCTGAAATAAGCTTTTCAGTGTTCAGAAAAGTAATCCCAGATAGGAGGTTTAAGAAAAAGGAGGGATAGGCCGGGTGCTGTGGCTCACGCCTATAATCCCAGCACTTTGGGAGGCTGAGGCAGGCAGATCATGAGGTCAAGAGATCAAGACCATCCTGGTCAACAGGGTGAAACCCCATCTAAAAATACAAAAAATTAGCTGGGCATGGTGGTGCATGCCTGTAATCCCAGCTACTCAGGAGGCTGAGGCAGGAGAATTACCTGAACCCAGGAGGCGGAGGTTGCGGTGAGCCGAGATCGAGCCATTGCACTCCAGCCTGGGTAACAAAAGCAAAACTCCATCTCAAAAAAAAAAATACAAAAATTAGCCGGGTATGGTGGTAGGTGCTTGAAATCCCAGCTACTTGGAAGACTGAGGCAGAAGAATCACTTGAACCTGCAAGGCAGAGGTTGCAGTGAGCCACGATCATGCCACTGCACTCCAGCCCAGGCAACAGAGCAAGACTCCATATATTAAAAAAAAAAAAGAGGGAGACAGAAACTCTCTGAGACAAACAAAAGTTGAGGGAATGTATTATCACTATTTCTTGTACCTGCCTTACAAGAAATGCCATAGGGGTGTTTCAAGCTGAAGAAAAAGGTTGCTAAGTTGGCAACATGAAAATATACAGCTTACTGGTAAACATAAATATACAGTCAAACTCAGAACACTCATTAATGTTGTTCAGAGTAATGGTGGTATGAAAACCAATTATATTTCCAGTATAAAGTTTAAAAGACAAAACTATTAAAAACAATTATAACTACAATAATTTCTTAAGAGACAAACTATAAAATATACTAAATATGTCATCAAAAATAAATTGTGTGTCTAGGGAGTAAAAGTATAGGGTTTGTGCAAGTGATCCCAGCACTTTGGGAGGCCGAGGTGGGTGGATCATGAGGTCAAGAGATCGAGACCATCCTGGTCAACATGGTGAAACCCCGTCTCTACTAAAAATACAAAAAAATTAGCTGGGCATGGTGGCACACGCCTGTAGTCCCAGCTACTCGGGAGGTTGAGGCAGGAGAATTGCTTGAACCCAGGAGGAAGAGGTTGCGGTGAGCTGAGATCATGCCATTGCACTCCAGCCTGGGTGACAAGAGTGAAACTCCATCTCAAAAGAAAAAAAAAAAAAAGAAAAACAAAGTTAAGTAGTAATCAGTTTTAAATAACCTGTTATTAGCAGATGTTTTATGTAATCTTCATGGTAACTACAAAGCAAAAAACTCTTAGTAGAAATGATTCAATGCATACCACCAAAGAAAATCAATATAATTTAGTCATATGGACATTATAATAAAGAAAAATATCATCATCTCAAGAGATACAGAAAAAAATTTCATAAAGTACAACATACAATGATTTAAAGAAGAAAACTTTTAGCAAGCTAGGAATAATTTTCCTAATCTGATAAATGGTGTCTATCAAAAAAAGAACATAATAGTGAACATATGCTTAAACATAATCACATACTTAATAGTGAAATGAAGAAAGCTTTCTTTTTGAAATCAAGAGCAATCAATGAAACCAGCTATTAGCACTTCCTTCCCCTTGCATTAAATAGTTTAGACAGTACAGTAAAGCAAGGGCAACAAAAGACAAAGGTTAGATGGTTAGATAAAACAAAATCCACTATTCACAGATGATATAGTTATGTGAGAGATCCAAAATACTACAGGTAAGTTATTTAAATTAATAAGATAATTTACGAAGATTGTTGGATGAAAACAGCAATAAATGAGAAGTAATTATACGTCTATGTTTGCAACACATACTTAGAAAACACAATTTAAATATACCACTTATAAAATAATTTTGTAATGTAGAGTAAAACCCTGGGGAGGTAATGGCACCATTGTTTTAAAATCTTCCCAAATATCCACATGAAAACAAGTAGTTCTACTAGATTGCAAGCCCAAAATCTATGGATAATGTTTACAATATCAAGATAAATCCCAAAATACAAGTCTGGGAACAAACCACCAAGAGCCACAGACTTGTATAGCATTAGCATCTGTGTGGGAGGAAGTAAAGGAACAAAAGAGCATCTGACAGACCAGAGGGGGGAAAATACTCTCAAAATAATCAACAGGTACTCACCAGAAATCATGGAAAGCCTATTAGAGAACAGCACCTTAAACTAGGAGATGTCTTGCCTAATCCAATAGCGGCTGAGTGCATGGAGTCTACAATAGAAACTGAAGGGACCAGGGCAGTCTAGATTCTATGAACTCTTAAGATTAACCAACTAGGGGTCTTTTCCAACCCAAAGGCCACAATGAGGAGAAATTCCTGTGAGTAAAGCCAAATTGAGCAATACAAGGACAAGAATAATGAAGGATAGGCCAGACATGGCGGCTCATGCCTATAATCCTAGTAATTTGGGACACCAAAGCAGGAGGATCACTTGAGGCCAGGAGTTCAAGATAAGCCTTGACAAGGCAGCATAAACCCATATCTACCAAAAAATAAAATTAAATTAAAATTAGTCAGGCATAGTAGCGCATGCCTGTGGTCCCAGCTACTTGGGAGGCTAAGTGGGGAGGATCACTTGAGCCCAGGAGTTCAAGGTTACAGTGAGCTATGATCACACCACTGCACTCCAGCCTGGGCAACAGAGTGGGACCCTGCCCCTAAAAAAAATAAAATAAAATGGGCTGGGTGCATTGGTTCATGGCTGTAATCCCAGCACTTTGGGAACCCAAGGCAGGAGGATCACTTGAGGCCAACATGGTGAAACCCCATCTCTACCAAAAAACACAAAAATTAGCCAGGCATGGTGGCACACACCTGTAGCCCCAGGTACTCAGAAGGCTGAGGTGAGATAATCACTTGAATCCAGGAGACAGAGGTTGCAGTGAGCCAAGATTGCACCACTGCACTCCAGCTTGGGCAACAGAGTAAGATACCATCTCAAAAATAGTAAGAAAATAAAACTAATCAAAAGATATTTAAAGAAAAAACAGAGATGAAGGGCACACAGGATCCAGATAAAAATGAGGAGAAGGCCAGGTGCGGTGGCTCACGCCTGTTAAGTCCCAGCACTTTGGGAGGTCGTAGTGGGCAGATCAGGAGGTTAGGAGTTCGAGAACAGCCTGACCAACATGGTAAAACCCCTTCTCTACTAAAAATTCAAAAATTAGACAGGTGTGGTGGTGTGCACCTGTAATCCCAGCTACTCAGGAGGATGAGGCAGGAGAATCGCTTAAAACCAGGAGGCCAAGGTTGCAGTGAGCCAAGATCGAGCCACTGTACTCCGGCCTGGGCGACAGAGCGAGACTCCGTCTCAAAGAAAACAGTAATAGGCTGGGCACGGTAGTTCACGCCTGTAATCCCAGCACTTTGGGAGGCGGAGTTGGGTGCATCACCTGAGGTCAGGAATTTGAGACCAGCCTGGCCGACATACCGTAACCCCGTCTATACTAAAAATACAAAGCATTAGTCAGGCGCGGTGGCAGGCGCCTGCCGTCCCAGCTACTTGGGAGGCTGAAGCAGGAGAATCACTTGAACCTGGGAGGCAGCGGTTGCAGCTGCTGCACTCCAGCCTGGGTGACAGAATGAGACTCCATATAAATAAAGAACAAAGTCACCTTTCTGAAACACATTCTAGAATCGTTTTCCTTAAAAACAAGCTTTACAGAAACGAGAGAACGGAGTTTTGGCCAACTGGCCACTTCCAACACCCATAAAGCCCCTTGAGCCCCAGGCGGACTCTTCTCTCCATATGGGTGCAACCCTCGTGGTGCCCCCGTGACGTCATCCCAAGCAGCTCCTCTGCTAGGCTCATGCCCTCCGGGGGGTGCTCAGGATCCCCCAGAAAGGCCCACCTCCCTCACATGACCTCCTTCTCTGGAAGTATGACCTCCAAAAAAGGAAAAGAGGGAGCTGGTGTCCGGTTTCTTCCGAAAGCCGAAAACCACTGCCCTAGCGGACCCGTGACGGGGGACCCGGGCTCCCGCCGCCCAGGCACTTCACCGCCCAGGGCCGAATCCTGCCCTCAGACTCGGACGGGATGAGTGAGGAGAGCCGAAGGCAGGGGTCCCTTTGATCCGTCAGCTCCACAGAGCCCAGGGCAACCAGGAGGCTCCCAGCCAGCGACCTGTCACCCATCAGCCGAGCCCGGCGAGCCCGCACCTCGAAAATGGCGCCCCGCCCCACACCCCAGATCTGAGTACGTTTCAGGGCTCCCTGGGCCAAGTGACCCTCACCCTAGCCTCCAGGCTTCCACCTGGTTCTTTAGTCCGGTCAGTTGGATAAAAATGAGGATGAAGAAGCCTCAGCAGAGAAACCAAGCCACCGCCTAAGGCCCCTTCAGGCCTCGACGGACCGCTGCCTGCGCGCGACCTTTCCCGCCGATTCTCTGCGCATGCGGCGCCGCGCCCCTAGCGTTCTCCCTACTGCTGTAGCAAACGCTTTCCGCCACCCCCTCCTTAACGCCCTGCTCTCTCCCCACCCACGCACATGCGCACATCCTCTGACTGACTGCGCACGCGCAGCTCCCTTCCCTAATACACCCCACCCCACCCCACCCTTGACACCCACTACACCCATGCTTCAGGCGAGGCCTCTGGCGCATATGCTTTGCTTCCACTGCCATTTAAGAGGAAGTGGGGATGAGGTGGGAGGCTTGATCTTCTCATTCATTCCTTTTAGCCTTCAAACTTTAAAAAAAAAAAAAAAAGATGGGGTTTCACCATATTGATCAGGCTGGTCTCGAAATCCTGACCTCAGGTGATCCGCCCACCACAGCCTCCTAAAGTGCTGGGATTACAGGCGTGAGCCACCGCATCCGGCCTAAACTTTTTTTTTTTGCTCTTATTGCCCAGACTGGAGTACAATGGTGCAATCTCGGCTCACTGCAACCTCCGCCTCCCGGGTTGGAGCAATTCTGCCTCAGCCTCCCGAGTAGCTGGGATTACAGGCATACGCCACCACGCCTGGCTAATTTTGTATTTTTAGTAGAGAAGGGGTTTCTCCACGTTGGTCAGGCTGGTCTTGAACTCCCGACCTCAGATGATCCTCCTGCCTTGGCCTCCCAAAGTGTTGGGATTACAGGCTTGAGCCACCTCACCCAGCCTGCCTTCAAACCTTTCACACTAAGATTGCCTGCCAGAAACGAAACCTTAAATGTGTCCAACAAGGCAGACAGGGACATTGCCTTGAGAGAGCGCAGAAGCCTACTAGGTTTTCAAACAAGAATGAAAAACTCAAAAGATTGACATAGGTCATCCATTCTCATGCTTTTTGGTCTCTTAAGAATTATTAAGGACTCCAATAATTTATGTTACATTAATATGGGTTGTATGTTTATGTGAGTTATATCTATCAATATTAAATTTCTAAAATAGTTAATGTTTAAAATTCATTATGTGTCAAAATAATATTTTTATTTAAAATATAATTTCTACACCAAAAGAAATTTTAGGGAGGAGAATGGCATCGTTTTACATTTTTGCAAATATCTTTAATGGCCGGCTTTATATACGACAGCTGGGTTCTCATACCTGCTTCTGCATTAAGTGTGTCAAAATAGATCGTGTCTTGTAGCTTCTGGCAAACATCACAGTATGCAAAAAGGAAAAAAAGGAAATGACAGTGAAAGGCAAATAACATCCTAGTACTATTACGAAAATAATATTCACCTCACGGACCCCCAAAAGTGTTTCAAGAGCCCCCAGAAGTCCCTGGGGCACACTTGAAGAATCATAGGCTTAAACTGTTATGATTGAACAAAGAGATGAAGAGGAAATTGTGGGGGTGCTTTAAGAATTCATCACAATCTTTGGGACTCATTCAATCCTTCAACATGTATTTACTGAGAGTCTATTAAAGGCTAGCAATTAGAAATACTGTAGAGAACAAAATAGACCCATTCCTGCCCTCAGTGTGCTTCCCACAACAGGAAAACAGATACATGATGACTCACAAATAATTACGTGATTATAAATTGTATTAAGGCTGGGCTAGGTGGCTCATGCCTGTAATCCCAGCACTTTTGGAGGCCGAGGCGGGCAACTCACAAGGTCAAGAGATTGAGACTATCCTGGCCAACACGGTGAAACCCAGTCTCTACTAAAAATACAAAAATTCGCTGGGCATGGTGGCCTGCGCCTGTAGTCCCAGCTACTCAGGAGGCGGAGGCAGGAGAATAGCTTGAACCTGGGAGGCAGAAGTTGCAGTAAGTCGAGATAGCACCACTGCACTCCAGCCTGGCTACAGAGCAAGACTCTGTCTCAAAAAAAAAAAAAAAAAAAAAAAGTTAAAATTTATGAACTTTATGAAATGTATAAATTGAAATCGATAAACTATTAAGAATTTTTGTTTATCTCAAAAATAAATAAATAAATAATGTATTTAGTGCTATGACCGGCTGGGCATGGTGGCTCAAGTCTGTAATCCCAGCACTTTGGGAAGCCAAGGTAGGCAGATCACATGAGCCCAGGAGTTCAAGATCAGCAGCCTGGCCAACATGGTGAAACCCCGTCTCTACTAAAAATACAAAAATTGGCCAGGCGTGGTGGCACATGCCTGTAATCCCAGCTACTCGGGTGGCTTAGTTAACAAGAAGCACTTAAAACCGGGAGGCAGAGTTTGCAATGAGCCAAGATCATGCTATTGCACTGCAGGCTGGGTGACAGAGTGAGACCCTGCCTCAGAAATAAATAAATAAAAGTGCCATGACAGAAAAGGCCCGTAGACCTAATTCATTTTATTTATTTATTTTTTTATTTTTTGAATCGGAGTTTCACTCTTGTTACCCAGGCTGGAGTGCGATGGCGTGATCTCGGCTCACCGCAACCTCCGCCTCCTGGGTTCAGGCAATTCTCCTTCCTCAGCCTCCTGAGTAGCTGGGATTACAGGCACGCGCCACCATGCCCAGCTAATTTTTTGTATTTTTAGTAGAGACGGGGTTTCACCATGTTGACCAGGACGGTCTCCATCTGTTGACCTCGTGATCCACCCGCCTCGGCCTCCCAAAGTGCTGGGATTACAGGCATGAGCCACCACGTCCGGACCTATTTATTTATTTTAAGACTGAGTCTCGCTCTCTCACCCAGGCTGGAGTGCAATGGAGCAATCTCAGCTCACAGCCACCTCTGCCTCCCAGGTTCAAGCAATTCTCCCTACCCCAGCCTCCCAAGTAGCTGAGATTGCAGGTGCCTGCCATTACGCCTGGCTAATTTTTATATTTTCAGTAGAGACAGAGTTTTGCTATGTTGGCCAGGCTGGTCTCAAGCTCCTGATCTCAGGTGATCTGCCCGCCACAGCCTCCCAAAGTGCTGGGATTACAGGCATGAGCCACTGTGCCCTGCCCATAGACCTAATTTAGAAGAAAGAGTTCTCTAAGGAAAAAACACTGGAGCTGAGGCTTGAAGGATGATTTACTAGGTGAAAAACGTGTGTGAACATCTCAAGCCCCCAGTCTGCGCAAAGGCCTTGAGGCAGGGCAAACTGTGAGTTCAAGGCACCAGGGAAAGTCTCAGTCAGTCAATAAATATTTATTGAATGATGTGCCCCACACTGTCCTAGAACCCGAGGATAAAATTATGAAAAAGATTTTACATTCCAGTTGCACAAAGAAAGTGAATACCTAAACAGAAAGAATTTCAGAGAGTGAGTGTGCTGACAGGGAGTTCCTAATTTAGACAAGGTAGCCAAGAGGGACTCGTGGGGAAAGTGGTATTTCCACAGAGACCTGAAGGAGACGAGGAAGGGAGCCCTGTGAAGGTGCCAGGGGAAGAACGTGCCAGGCAAAGAAAATGGCAACAGCGAAGGCCTTGAGGCAGATATACACTTCATAGGTTCTGGAAACTGCAAGAAGTCTGATATGAATGGATCACAGTGACTGAGGAAAAGGTAGCAGCAGATCAGAGCAGTGGCAGGGGTCAGACTGTCAGGTCTCCATATGCAAGCCTGGAGCCTGAAAGTTTGAAGTCCTACCTGTCCCAGCTGATGTCTCCCACTCCGTCTCCATTCCGCATTGTCCCTGATTGCCCAGTGGAGCTTCCCTGGACAAGCCCCTCACCCAACCCTGCCATCTTAACTGTTCTTATGATAATGTAAATACCTCTCACCCAACCCTGCCATTGTAACTGAACTTGTGGCCATGTACACTCCTTGCCCCTGTCCCCAACCACTGTAACTGAACTTACTCTGCAACACCCCCATCTCCCAAAAAAACTACCCCAACTTATAAAGCCAATTCCCACCTTACCTCCTTCACCTGTCCTTGCTTGGATTGGCCCACAAGCGAGAAACAAAACGGCCTTGTTGCTCACATAAAACCTGGTTTCGAAGATCTCTTTATTAAATGCATTGAATATTTGGTACTATTGGATGTGAATAACACAGACTATCATTTGGAGGCCCTTATAGGTCATGGTTGGAATTGGTCTTTTTTTTTTTTTCTGGGTGAGATGAAAGCTATTTGTGGGTTCTGAGTCAAGGAGTGACTTGCATTTTAACAGCAGGATCCCCCTGGCTTCTGGGCAGAGAATAGGATGTATGGGTGTATTCCTGTTTTCACATTGCTATAAAGAACTGCCCGAGACTGGGTAATTTACAAAGGAAAGAGGTTTAATTGACTCACAGTTCAGCATGGCTGGGGAGGCCTCCAGAAACTTACAATCATGGCAGAAGGCAAAGGGGAAGAAAGGCACCTTCTTTATAATGTGGCAGGAAGAAGTGCTGAGCGAAGGGGGAAGAGCCCCTTATAAAAGCGTAAGATTGGCCAGGTGCAGTGGCTCATGCCTGTAATGCCAGCACTTTGGGAGGCCGAAGCGGGTGGATCACCAGGTCAGGAGATCAAGACCATCCTGGCTAATAATGGTGAAACTCATCTCTACTAAAAATGCAAAAAGTTAGCCAGGCATGGTGGCACATGCCTGTAGTCCCAGCTACTCAGGAGGCTGAGGCAGGAGAATCGCTTGAACCCAGGAGGCGGAGGTTGCAGTGAGCTGAGATGGCACCACAGCACTCTAGCCTGGGCAACAGAGGGAGACTCCATCTCCAAAAAAGAACAAAAACAAAAACAAACAAACAAAATCAGATCTAGTGAGAACTCATTCACCATCATAAGAACAGCCTGGGGGAAACCACCCCCATGATTC